GAGAAGGGGCCGGACCCAACGCCCAGGCCCGCCGAGCGGCTGCAACTTGGGGCCGGGAAATAGCGGCGCGGCGGCGTTGCAACCGCCCCGGCCTTAGGTGACAAGTCAACAGGTGGGGCGAGCCCGGAACTTCTCTCTAGGCAGGCCCACTGCGGGAGGGACGGCGCAACCGGCTTCACTAGCCGCTGGCTATTTGCAAAGAAGAAAGTCCCGTTTCCGATGCGCCTTAAGCCGATCCCTTGATGGTTTGTGTGTGTGTGTGTGTGTGTGTGTGTGTTTAAAGATGATTTACTGAACTCGGTGGGTGAGGTCTGTTCCCTTCTGTAGAGAGGTGAAGCTGGGGTAGGTGAAAGGGGGCTTTCAAAAGGCGGGACTCCTCTGCAAGCCCGGTGAGTGTGCGCCTCTGTGCATGTGTGTGTGCGCGCGCCTGAGGGGGGGGGGTAATGGAAAGGGATACCTCGGCAGGTTTGGTGCGAAGGCAACAGACTTCAAAGACTTGCACCCTGTACGGAGGATCTAAGGCTTTAGGGTCCACCGTAGTATTGGATTCGACTGGCTTTCGAGCAAGGGAGACCTTTGCCTTTATAGCATTGTGGGAAGGCGACATTCCCCCTCCCTAGCGGCTTCCGAAGGTGGGCCCTGCCGGATGGACTCAAGACAGGTCTTCCTTCTGTTACTGGGCCGAGAGTGAGAGAGCCGCCCTTCCGAAGGGGAGCTCCAGAGGCCACGGCGCGCCTTCCCCAGACTCCATTCCCCCGGGCCCCCTTGTTCTCTGTCGCCTCGCCCGGCTCCTTCCTTCCCCTCCACCTGGAAGGTGACCTTTGTGCGCGGCTGGGAGCTGGACGGCTCTTGTGTGCCGGGTCTGACCCCAGGGACACCCCGCACTCGACTCCTAGAGCGGCCAGATCCCTTCCTTCCCCCCCCCATCCCAGCCCTAACTCTGATCCCCCAAAGGGCCCCACAGGATCCGATGAGACCATTCATCCTGTGCTCAGAGCTGCCATCCGAAACATACCTGCCCGGTGTCTCACTGGATTTATGTCTAAATCCATCTGCTTGGGATATCTCTCCTATCTAAACCCGCGGGGTTCTTTTTTTTTTTTTTTAAATTGCTTAACTTTGACGGGATCGTGCCCACTGGCGCTTTTGCTGAAGGCGACAGGAAACTCCCGTTGGTTTAATGGAGCCTGATGTGACTTCTTCGAAGGCTGACCCCAAGTGCAGGTCGGCGGGAGTCGATTCCACTGAAATCGATAGCCTTTCCCAAGTCTACCTGCTGGGATCCAGGCGAAATCAAAGACGGTTGGGAGTTTCTTCTCGGCGACAGGAACGCCAGGCCCAGGGTCTGGTGTATGGCTCGGGTTGCAACACGTGCCCGGCTCTCCTGAAACCTATTAAGCTGGAAGCGATGAAGCCCCGTTCTAGGGCTCCTACTTTCAAGCGAGGGGTTTTAAGATTGAAGCGGGACAGGATCCCCGCCCGCCCCCGTACTCGGAAGTAAAAAGGTAAAGGGGGGTGTAAATAGTGTGCGGGATCGCGCTTTATCGGCGGCCTTAGCGGCCGGGTGCGGCCCACAGAAAAGGAAGCCCGAAAAGGGAACCTGAGGGAAAAAACCCAAAACACGCGGTGGCCTGTGGAGACACCCAAGCGCTGGCCTCCAGGCCTTTACGCCGAAATCTCCTCCCTTCTGGAGAGGTGAAAGTCAACTTGCCAGCGCTTGGGGGAAAGATTCCCAGATTCGGCTCCCCCCTGGTTTGGAGACACCACACACCGCCACACACCACACACCGCACACAAGGCTTCCCAGGTTCTAAGCGGCTGCTTGCAAAATCTCTCTCCCCCCCCCGCCTCTCCTCGCCTGGCGACCTAGAAGGCTTGGGGGCCTGTCCAGGACTTTCGCTGAAGGGCCACGGGCTCTACTCCCTCCCCAGCAGGCCGGTTTGGCCGGTTCGTCGCGGGTAGGCCTGGGCCTCCCTCCCGGCTAAGGAAGCGGCAGGACTGAACCCTGCCTGGGGGGGGGGGGGGGGGCCTGCCCCCCCCCGAGGG